GTGTCCGCGTCCAGCGGCAGCAGACCCTCGGCGATCCGGCGACCAGCCCACCGGGCTGTGTCCGCGTCCAGCGGCAGCAGACCCTCGGCGATCCGGCGACCAGCCCACCGGGCCGTGTCCGCGTCCAGCGGCAGCAGACCCTCGGCGATCCGGCGACCAGCCCGCCGGGCCGTGTCCGCGTCCAGCGGCAGCAGACCCTCGGCGATCCGGCGACCAGCCCGCCGGGCCGTGTCCGCGTCCAGCGGCAGCAGACCCTCGGCGATCCGGCGACTAGCTCGCCGGGCCGTGTCCGCGTCCAGCGGCAGCAGAACCTCGGCGATCCGGCGACCAGCCCGCCGGGCCGTGTCCGCGTCCAGCGGCAGCAGACCCTCGGCGATCCGGCGACTAGCTCGCCGGGCCGTGTCCGCGTCCAGCGGCAGCAGACCCTCGGCGATCCGGCAACCAGCCCACCGGGCCGTGTACGCGTCCAGCGGCAGCAGAACCTCGGCGATCCGGCGACTAGCTCGCCGGGCCGTGTCCCGGACAGCGATGGCCCATAAGACAGCTGCCGCCTAGCCACCGCCGGCCGCGGAAGGCCGGCGCGCTTGTCGGAGCTGAGCCCGCCACTTGGCGGGTCGCGCCCCACCCCGGCCGGAGTGCCAGAACCAATCCGAAATCGGGCACGGCGGACGGCCGAGCCGTCGCCGCCGGTCCACTCATGCCCTCTCCGACCGTTGATTTAAGCATCGCCCCGATGTGCAAAGTGGCCGCCGGCCGCCGGTTAATGATTCACTTGGGCGGCGGCGGTCTGCGGCGGGGCCACGTTGTGTAGTAGCGCTCATCGGTTCCGATCTGCTGTCTGTGGCTGGCACAGCTGCAGCACAAGTTAGCCCGCCCCGCAACCAATGGCTCAGGAAGGGTCATATGGGCGGTGACCCCATAAATGCGAAACGGCGAAGACATGTGCTCTAAATGTACCCGTGTGGTTCATTGAGCTGTGGGACGGTTGTGGGCAATTTAGGAAGCTGAATGACGATGTGCGCAACTATATGATCTGTCGCGAAGCTAGAACATCACAAGATCTGAGAGATTTTGTCCCATGGTGCATACGATGCGACTAAGGCGTGAAACATTGCAATTTACGCGCCAATTTAGCGTATATTAGCGCTTATAGCGTTTATTTAGTGATATACTGAAATCGCCCAACCGGCATTATTATACATTTTCACATTTCCACACCAGGTTACGTGCGCTATCTCTTCTGTGGGGGTCGTTGCTCCCTGCGAAGATCGCTCTATTCTGGCAGTTGGTAGACCGACCTGGTGTCAATGGCCTGGACCCTCAAAACGTTGAACTGATTGTACCACTGTGCCTAGGTGAGAAGGCTTGGTACGTTTCACTTAAGTAGCCTGGTGGCTTATGAACAAACTTCGCGCCAACTTGCCGAGGCTCACCCTTCCCCGAAGACACAGAACTGTGCAACGCAGTGCTAACTGCAAACAGTCTTGCGTCAGAAAATCGGCGAAACGTTTTGTTCCGGACCTGATTTATTGGCCGAATTTTCAAAGACCCCTCCAATTACGCTGCGTGAGATTAGGCCATAACGTCTGAATCACGGAGACCGGACAGGGAAATGAATGCAGGCCAGTCCATCGCTTTGTTTCAACACCAGACGAATGGCCCGTGCAGAGGCGTGGGTCGCGCGACAATAGAAGCCTGTTATCGATGCAGCGTGAATAGATGAGTGTGTCCGATTTTCTTTGGATGTTCTCTGTGTAGCGTGCACGCCTGTCGGAAGCATGGACAGGCGTGGAGGGAAATTTTGACTCCCTCGCATTAGCGCTGCCGTCTGTTCAGCCCAGTCAGAACTGGAGCTAATAAAAGCCATCCCGCGGGCCGACACACAGCTAGTCGGCGATGTCTGACGGCACGCACTGTCTGTAGGGCGCGAGAAGCAAGATGAGTTCATCTGGACTCCGATGATGCCGGGAAAAATTAAGGTTATTTGTAAGGAAAATGCATTACATTCATGTTCCACAGCGGGCGACTGACGACGAACAGGCGCCAGACGGAGGACATCTTTGTCGAATGCTTCTCCAATAAGATGTGGCTTTTGGGTCAGACAGCATTTAAAAACCGAGGAGTTGTTTTGAACTCTGCTATCGCAATCACATCCAAAGTTCACACCCAGCCTGATCCCAGGAGCAGCTCGGCCAGTTTCACTACGGTTCACTGGCAGATCTGCTGCACGGAGGTGGAGGGCCGGGCGCTGCCGCCGCGCTGCCGACGCGGTTTGCTCTGCAGGATCTCCTGCAGCTGCTCCTCGCGGTCGTTGTAACAGCCGAGGAACGTGTTGGGTCGCGTTTGGCCGCCAAAATTGTGGCAGCTGTGTGCGCTGTCATCGGCCGACACTGGGCCGTCGTTCCAGATCAGGTCGTAGCCGCCCACGCGCAGTTCACGGCCCGTTAGTCGGCCCTCCAGGTCAACCACGTGCAGAGTATCGTCGAGCAGCGCGAACTTGAGCCGGTAGTCGTCCCGGCCGGTGGTCGCCAGCGACGGACTGGCGTTCACCTCCATCAGCCACGGCCTCAGCTCGCTGTCGATCAGGATGTCGTATCCGTACAGCTCAAAGCAGTGTTTGTCGTTGATCATGATCTTCTGCACGCTCTGCAGCGACTTGATGAACACATTGTTGATGTCGTCGATGAGCGTGGCGACCATGGCGTCGCCGTGGCGCGCGCGCAGGAAGTGGCGCAGCTGGCGCATGCTCCACTTGCTGCCACGCTGCGGGTTGTACTCGACCGTGTGCTTCTGGATGGCCACGTTGGTCAGGTGGATGCAGTTGTCCTCGATCTGGGACGTGGTGAACTCGGCCGAGCTAAACCGCGCGAACCCTTCGCGGTACAGCCACACCTTGAGCGGCGTGTACGACGAGACGAGGGCGTACAGGCGCAGGTCGAACTTGCGGCCGCCGATCAGGTACGGGTTCGAGATATACCGCTGCACGACATACGTCTCGGGCCCGAGCGCCGCGTCCTTGTCCCCCGCCAGGAAGCTGGGCGTGAACTGCTTGTCCTTGATCTTCCACTCGGTGACATCCTTGAGCCGCTGCGTGAGGAAAATGCCGCGTCCCTGGCTCTTGCCTGCCGGCTTCATGATCCAGATGGCGCGTGGGTAGTGCCGGAACTCCTCGACAAACATGTGGTACTCGCTTGGCAGCTCGAACGAGGTCGGGCAGATCACGCAGCGCTCCGCCTCCTCCTTGGTACCAGCTCTTCTCCATCTGACGCTTCAGTCGGCGTATGTTCTTCATCAGCATATTTTTGCGGCTCAGCTCATAGTGGTTGCGAAAATGGCAGATGCGCTGGTGGTCCTGCAAAAAGGTGTGGTCGTAGTATTCCTTCAGCTGACTTACATCGCACCAGTTGATATCCCAGTCTGGGTCCTCGGGCCCCACCTCTTTCCAGCCGCGCGACCGGAACACGTCCAGCATAACGTGGCCGAAGCTGCAGCGGTAGCGGATGGTGGGTCGTCCGCCCAGCTCACTCGTCCGCCGCTTCTCTGCCATGTCTTCCGCTCGGACCTCCTTTGAACGGCGTCTCAACGGCGCTCGATACCCACACAGGGTCCTGTTTGAAGTTGGAGCTGAGATCGGTTCCGTCTGCTTACGTGGGGGTCGACGGCTGCTCTCTAACTTAAGGGCCTGCTTCGTGTAAACCAACGACAAACTTCTGCAGTACACGCTCAAAGTTTTGTATCTAGTTTAAGAAGTGCCTTTGTTAAAGCTGACTCATTCCATCTGGGAAATTAACCACGTGCCATGTAATTATGCTGTCTTTTGGCGGGAAACATTCCAGAAATGACCATGTCTTTGAGCTCATTCGGGGCCAATATGGTGCGTATGAATAGTTTCATCTAGTCCGCCAAAAGTGCGTAACGTCTTCTAGCTTATAGCACACACTTCTCATAAGCTGGGTTGACCGCAGCAGCTAAGCGGAAATGGATGTCGTTGACCCATCAGCCGTGTCCCTGCACTGCCCCTCTGGTGGCCGCCGGCGTCGCAGAGACCTCAGCCGCGTGGCGCCGGCCACAGCTAATGGACGCCCGCAGCCCGACCACCACACTCTCAGCCACCGTGAGAAAGCCGGCGACAGAAACATATTTGTGGCGCGCGGCCAGGGATTGATTATTGTTAAACAATAATCGGTCATAACGCGTACGGCCACAGATGAATGATGAGGCGCGGAGATGAGCAGAGTCCATGTGAGGATTTGCATGTGGGTAGATCCGCGGAACGTTGCTGTTTATGTGGGTAGATCCATGGTAGGCTGCTGGTCATGTGGGTGGGTCATCAAAACGACTTTTATCCTAAGGCAGACTAAAAGAAGAGACACGCAAACCTGACACGCTCCATCCCATGGAGAGCGAGAAAGAGAGAGAGAGAGAGAGAGAGAGAGAGAGAGAGAGAGAGAGAGAGAGAGAGAGAGAGAGAGAGAGAGAGAGAGAGATAGAGAGAGAGAGAGAGAGAGAGAGAGAGAGAGAGAGAGAGAGAGAGAGAGAGAGAGAGAGAGAGAGAGAGAGAGAGCAAAAAAAATGTGAGGGGAAGAAAGAGTGGTTGTGTACGATGGCGTGCCAGCTGACGTCTGGATTTTCCACCGAGACGCCCGCAGTCGGCGCGTGTCGTCCTGTGCCGCTCGGCGGCGTGTTTTCCAGCGCCGCGGTCCCTCCTTAGAGCGCTGCGCGGTCGGCGGCGGCCCGGTGTCGGCTTTTTAGTGGCGGCCGCCAGCCGTTTTTCAGCTCGACCCCGCCGGCCTTCCGACGTGTCCATCATTTCTGGGCCGACGGGCGCGCGAGCCGCAACCAGAGCACTCACATTTCACACGGCTCAATTAGTTTACAACACCGCCGGGAATAGATACCGGTCCCTCCCTGCTCTAATCTCTAAATAACTCCTAAGTAAACCCAATTTTCATGATTTAGGCTGCCCCGGGGCGTCGGTGGGATTAATGTTCCGCGCAGCAGGAGTGAGGCATAGGCAGATAAGGAGGCCAGATAGGATTAGTAAGAGGCTCGCACGCTCGCACCATCGTGACCCCCAGGCGAGTTCCCCGGATGACAACACCATCCGGCTTTATGAATGAGAACGCTAATCTGGGACTTCTACGAGAAAGCAAAAAACATGAATTTAAGTTATCAGGTGTGTTACGTGCGCTCTGTTCATAAACAGCACATTCTGACATGACCAAAATGGCCAGCAGTCTATTATTAAGTTATATTATGCGGCCTTATTGCAGTTTGCCTTCAATAATCGAAAAAGTTGATTATCCGGTGAAACTTTTAGACCAATGCTTGCTCGGAGCAAAGAAGGCGAATGAAGTGACTCAGCGGTAATGCCCATAAAACCCAAGCTGCAAGGCATCGTATTAGTATCGTAGCGTATAAAGTGCAGTATCAGGACAATGCATATTAGCATAGGCTATCATGCACTTGGCTTTGAGAAACTTGGACTGTAACGATAAATTGGCTCGTCATTATGCAAAATTTGGTGTTCACCTTTAGGTGTAGCTTATCAATGAAGATGATGTCTGGGGTTTTGGAGGCTAAGTGACTTCGAATATTATTTCGCCTACTTGAAATTCAGATCAACAACATATGCGATATAGACAGACTTGTGCCTGACCCCGCCTAGGGTCAAAGTTGACCCTGAAATGAACACGGTTGTTAATGAGTTAAAGGGAATGTTCCGCATTCAAAGACATTAAAAGGAAGTACCAGGCATTATGAAATAAGGTTGTTTACAACTACCGGTATGCTCTTAAATGTAGTGTTCCATATTTGTACTGGGTTTAAACTGACAAGCCGTCTTGAAGGCCATGCGTGGCAGCTCAAAGCCCCAGCCTACTTAAAACCTAAGCCCCTCTTGTATTTGAGCTACACGCCAGCCAAGATGAGCAGACTCCTCCGAGGGGTCTATTCCAAGGTCACCCGGACATGCATGACGTTATGGCAACGTCATTTAAATCCTGTTATTGCTTTGGCCATGCGTCAAACAGGACCGAGAAAAGTATGATTGTCGAAACATTCATGTCTGGTGTGCGTTAGTACGATTTTCAGGTATAACGGTCGTCAATTACCTCTCACTGAATGTCGTGCAGGGTACAATGACGGGATCAAGCAATGAGGTATTGAAGAGCATATTTACTACCCAGAGAAATTGTGCTGCCTAGAGCGGTTTTTTCCACTCATGAGCTTACCAATACGCACGAGTCGACTTATTCTATCATATCTGACGATTGCGTCAATTATTTTAGGTGCAAAACATTCCCTTTAAGTGGAAAAGACTGCTTTAGACAACACATTTTCTCTGCTAAGTAAATATTTTCCTCACCACGTCATCATTTGATTACGTCATCACACCTCGCACAAGATTTATTGAAGCCAATGCGAGTCCAGATACAACAGGCGTTGTATCTGTAAATCGTGCCCAGGAACGCCAGATTTGCACAATTCAACACTCATATTTTGTAAGGCCTTGATCGCCATATGGCTAATGACAGAATTTTAATAGAGCTATCATGGCGCCATATGTGCTCAGATGACCGTGAAATAGTCTCCCCGAAATAGTCTACACGTCTTCTCGCGCGTGTAGCTCAGAAACTAGAGGGGTTTAGGTTTTAAGAAGGGCAGGGCTGTACACTGCACCGAATGAACTTCAATGTGGCTATCTCAGTTAAAATCCCCATACAAATGTCAAACACTCCGTTTAAAGTGGAATCGGATCCTTCAAGAATGTATTTGAATCAGATTTGGAATTGAGGCAGTTCTATTGACAGAGATCATTAAACGGAGTTTCCTTCCTTTATGGCATATTTCAAAAACATACTCAAGGAAAACCTCAGTACCATTTACGTCCAGTAATAGTATTGGGTAGTGCTACTGCAGCACCATGAAAGAATACTGAAGAAAAACGGTTTAATATCATGGTGTTCAAACTGCGCTTTCAACGCTTCTACATAGTACCACACTACTCCCTTTCTCGGTAGGCCCAAAGAATATCCCGAATCTCGAATCCGCGACAACTGCAGATGTCGCGACCGCCGTTGTCAAGGCAACCGCCGTCGTCATGACGACAACGAAATCTGTTGAGGGTCGTTGTCAGCTGTTACGAGCCAGGTACCACTTTGAGCTGTTTTAACCCGCACCTTGCGGGTCTACAGGTTTAAAAGTGGCGCCTGTACCGGTAAGAATGACGTCAGTACAAATGAACGTCGGCCATTGGCACAGCGGTGGCAAAGGGGAAATACCGAAAAGCGCAATGGTTGAAGTTTGAACCATTGCGTCTCTACAGGCCATGTCATACCACGTCCCCAAAGCCCAAGTGCACTTTAAAAAGAGCCACTGTGGTTAACGCCATAGGGAGGGGGGGGGGGGGGATTTGAGCCGTGTAAAACGCTTTGTTGAAGTCGTGGGATAATAGCCTCATGTTAGCGCATCGCTATCTGTAAAAGGAGTGTTTCAATGTTTAGCAGCAGCTTATGCATACTTATTTTTTCTTAGCATTATGCATTTTTACAAATTGGTGAGTCGTAAACATAACAGAACACGTTGGAAAAAGCAAGGCAATAAAAATCAGTACTTTCATAGTGGTGAGCAGAGTCAAATGAGATTTCTCCCGCAGACGTGGGTACTTCAAATCAAAATTCTGAGCTATTTAGAAGAATTCCAAAAACTGGTACGACCGAGCAAATCGAGCGTCTGATCTAACAATGAGTGACAAGTACAAAAAAGGTGGCATACCCTGTTTAATGTGGGGCTCTGGTATGAATATAAATAATAGCAAACGATTGTATTCCAACAACTGTTTTATATGCTACAAGTTCACACGCTCCATTATCTCGGTGTCAAAATCGATGCGCTACAACATATTTTTACGGACCATATCATAGTCTGTTTCTCCAAACCGTCATCACCGGAATTCACACGATCGGAATCGATTCCAGAAGCCAGTCATAAGATCTTGGGCATCAATCGGAGTAGACTCAAAATTGAGTCGCGGTGATTCGAATCATATTTAGCGTCAGGCAATACGCTGTCAGTCGGAGTCGGAATCGAGTGCAATGGAGCGGAAGTTTGAATTAGACAGCGGACGTGATAGCTGATGCGCGGCAAACTTCTCACCTTGTAGGTGCGTAGGTTCTCCACGGCGCAGGATAGCACCGCCTCCCGTCCCTTCTGGACGGTCACGTTCTGCACAGTTCCCACGAATCGGGGATGGAAGGCCATACCTGAAGAACAGCCGCAATCGACATGTCAGCTTTGTCGCACCTAGGCCATGCAAGATTGGTAGACAATCGGCATGAGCAACAACTAACGTCACATGTATACCTGCCAGGGTAGTTGGATTACAGACACCCACTAAACCCGCGCACTTCCTGCTTTAGGTATATGATGCTGGGAGTGGAAAAGTCACATTCTGTGTGGATGGTCCAATGCGGTATAGTAAATGCATTAAAGCAAAGCTGCTTGGAGTCAGCGGTGCTGAACCAAGGCAGAACGTCACAAGACGTCACCATCTGACAGTTACTTTCCGGCTGTGAACCGAGCCTCAGCCAACCAGCGGCCGCACAGTCCAGTGCTGGCTGTGAATTGAGCCTCAGCCAGCCAGCGGCCGCACGGTCCAGTGCTGGCTGTGAATCGAGCCTCAGCCAGCCAGCGGCCGTACAGTCTA